CGACTCAGTGCGTCGGATGCTTGATTACTCTTTCCTGCTTTGTGTTCGAACTTGAAGTCGAATTCGGCCAACGACTCCTGCCACTGGGCTTGTTTTGCCGTCAATTTTGGTTGATCAAAGAAGTGGCAAATGGCGCTGTTATCCGTCTTCACTACGAACTGTGATCCCAAGAGATACTTTTTCCAGACTCGAAGGCAATGGACTACTGCCAGCATTTCTTTCTCGGAGACAGTGTATCTACGTTCGGCGTCATTGAGCTTTCGACTTTCGTAATCGATGGGGTGGCCTTCCTGAATAAGGACCCCACCTAGGGCAAAGTCGGAAGCATCTGTTTCTATTTCAAATGGCTTTGTAACATCTACCAATCCGAGAACAGGACCCCTCATCATGGTTGTTTTCAGATCTTCAAAGGCCATTTGACAATCATTTGACCACGACCAAGGGTGGTCTTTCTTCAACAGCTCTGTCAATGGGGCGTCTAGTCGTGAAAACCCTTCGACGAACCGCCTATAGTAGTTGGCTAATCCTAAGAAGGACCGCACATCGGATACGGAAGTAGAAACCTTCCATTCTTGGATAGCTTTTATCTTATTGCTATCCATACTAATCTGTTCACATTTGACGACATGTCCAAGAAAGTTGATGCATGTTTGTGCGAATGCACATTTCTCTTTCTTGACATACAGTTGGTTTTGTCGTAGCTTGTCGAACACCAGCTTCAAGTGCACTTTGTGTTCCTCTAGGGTTGTGTTGTAAACCACTATGTCGTCGAGGTATACTATGACAAACTGATCCAAGTATTCGTAGAAAACTTGGTTCATCAACGTGCAGAAAGTAGCTGGAGCGTTTGTCAAGCCAAAGGGCATTACTAGGAATTCGAAGGCCCCATATCTTGTTACGCACGTCGTCTTGGGCTCGTCCCCTTCGGCAATACGTACTTGGTAATACCCTGATCGTAAGTCCAACTTCGTGAAGTACTTGGCCCCGTGAAGTTGGTCGAACAAGTCGGATATTATCGGCAGTGGATATTTGTTGCGTACCGTCACCTTGTTTAAGGCTCTATAGTCTATACACAGACGCAACGTCCCATCCTTCTTCTTCTGGAACAGTACGGGGGCTCCATAGGGTGCCTTTGCCGGGCGGATGAATCCCGCCTTCAGCAACTCATCCAGTTGTTTCCTTAATTCGGCTAGCTCGGGCGGAGCCATCCGGTATGCGTTCTTCGCTGGCGGTTTAACTCCGGGGATGAGTTCGATTTCGTGATCAATGCCTCGACGAGGTGGTAATGTTTGGGGTAAGCTCTCTGGCATTATGTCAGCATAGTCGTTTAGTACCTCATTGATTTCATTTGGGACAGTTTCTTCGGTGGTTGTTACTTCCATCAATGGTATGGCCATAAATGTAGGTTCCTCTCGTGCGAGTCCCTTTTTCAATTGTATGGCCGAGATCATTCGAAGATTACCTGGTTGCTTGATGCTTGCAGGTATTACTGTGGGGTTGCGGTCAGTGATCACTAAGCACTTTGCCAGCGGCATTGGGATAACTTTGTGTTCTAGGAGGAACTCCATCCCAAGTACCACGTCAAAGTCGTCCATGCGAGCTACGACAAGATCTAGCTCTCCTGTCCAATCCCCTATTTTAAAGGGGACTCTTTTGGAAACTCCCACAATAGGCAAGGCCTCAGAGTTGACAGCTTTCATTTTTCCCGGGTCCCTTCCTATAGTGAGTCCTAATCTTCGGGCTTCTTGATCAGCGATAAAGTTGTGGGTCGCTCCTGAATCTATCAGAGTGCTCCTATTCGGTTGGAAATTTATTGTCGCATCTACGAACATGAGTCCTTTCTCTACTATCTCCTTCGGTTCGACCTTCCGTTGGAGAGCTGACAAGAATTTAAGTGCGCCCATTCGGGGATTGTCTTGATCTTCCTTCTTGTCAAGCATAGTCTCAACCCTTGCGTCATTGCTCTCTTGAATGGACACTTGGAGCGCAGTGAGAGAGGCCCGATGAGGACAGTAAGATACTTTATGGGGACCTTTACACAGCATGCATTGTAAAGGCGTCGTCAGGTGGTTCCTTTGATGGTAAGGTCCTCGAGATGTCCCCGCTTGGTTGTTCTGAGGAGGTCTATCCGTCCATCCGCTTGGTCTGTCGTTACCTCCGTTCGGTCTGTTGGGGCTTCCATTTTGATAACCTGGTGGTTTGTATGTCTTGCCCCCAGTGTTTGGGGCTGGTGTCATTCTTCTTTGGGATCCCGCTTCGTTCCCATAGTCTAGGAGTCTCTCGGCACAGGCCATTGCGGCAGCTACGGTTTGGACCTTGTTCTCGTGTAGCTTTGTTTTGGCCCACGGCTGTAACCCATTTATAAAGAAGAACACCTTGTCCTTCTCTAATGTGCCCCTGATATCTAGCATCAGGGTTGAGAACTGTCTGACATAGTCTCGTATGCCTCTAGTGTGTTTCAGGGCTACTAGTTTTTCCATTGCTATATGTCCTGCGTTTTCGGGGAGGAACTGGTCCCTCAACTCTTTCTTAAGGTCCTCCCACGAGTCAATGGTGCACAATCCATCCTCGATGTCTTGTACCTTTGTACGCCACCACAGTTTGGCGTCGTTTATGAGATACATCGAGGCTACGATCACCTTCTTGTCATCAGTACAAGCCGTTGTGGCTTTGAAGTACTGTTCGACATCAAAGATGAAGTTTTCCAACTCTTTGGCGTCCCGATTCCCTTTAAAGGCTCTAGGATCTGGGAATCTTAGTTTGTTGGACCCTGTATTAGTTTGCCCAGCCGTGACGTTCTCCACGGCTTTCAGGTCACTTCAATTTGAGTGCCCATGGAGGCCATTCTTTCTTGGATGTCGTCGATTGTTGTTCTGAATTCATCAGCTAATCCATTGAACAAGCTCATCATTGTATTTTGTAGCACGTCGAACTCTTCGCCACGTCCCTCCTTGTGCGCGACAGAGCTATCCAGACTACCAGACGGTTTTGGGCTACTCGTAGGAGCAACTCTTTCTTCGAGCGAGGTCACTCGAAACATCAATTCTGCGATTGGCAACTCATCGAGGCGGTTGCCCATTGGGTCGATTACTACGACTTTCTCACTCAATTCGGTCACCCGTGCTTCCAGGAAGCGGAGGGTGTCAGGGACTATTAGCGTAAGCCGGCTTGTACTTTGGGTGTCGACTTTGTCGCCGACATGGTTTCGGTCTTTACTGTGTCACGGTGCTAACAAAGCTCTGATACCACTTGTCACAATCGCACTTTTTAAAGGCAGCGGACTAGTGATTGTGCGGCACTCACTTTCCAACGATAAGTGAGCTAAGCCAATTTG